CATTGACAATTGATCTTCATCCTCTCGCAGAGATGAACGGCATTTTGGACATGTTTGACGACAGCTTAACTACTGAGAAGGAGGCAGAGGTCGATTTTTGTTGCGGCCGTCTTGGCTCCTGCAACACGTTTGCCTTTTCAGTATCTTGATTTGCCCCCGCTCACTGTGCTGCTTACTGAGTGTACTGTTGTGAGAGGTCAGATTTCATGTTCGTTGGCAATATCTCACTTCTATGCATTTTTCTGATACGGAAACTCTCAACATGGTGAAACAATGTGAAACAGACGAAACAGCCTGCCCCAAGATTACTCACACGAATGTGAACGTAAACCCCGCCATCTCAAATTCTCAAATCAACAACTTGAAGCCCTGAGCATAGACCATACACGTGCTACACGATTTCACACCACGCCTAAGCTTGATCCAGTCAAACCGCAGTGGTCAGTCTGCAACGGCGGCGATACCTGGACCGAGGCGGAACCCGGGAATAACGAGAGTTGACGCATTAAAGGACCGAATGGACAGAAGTTGTGATCCTGAAGCATGGCATTATTTTACTAAGCTCAACAGCAACTCTATGAAACTGACAATTACCCTATTTTCTTGCTTTACCTTTACAAAATGCGAAGCATCTCCACTTTTGATTTCCCTTTTCCAAAAGAACAAGACGGTTTCAAGCGGCAGATTGCAATTCAAACATGAGATGACTGCGCAATTTGGTCCATTCGTTATCGCCCAGCTTTGCTCGGCACCTTTGGTGAGGAAAAGTTGCGGATGGTTTTCGAGCAGGCCGGATGGAAAAGATGAGGGTGGAAAGGGTCATTTTTCCTCTGATAGCTGAAAGCTATAGGGGTTCTTACTTCCAATAGAGGGAGGTGTTGGTTTGCGTTTTGCCTGCCAGGGTGCCACGGTGCTGTGGGTGCTAGGGTGCCACGGTGCTGTTTGCAGATTGGGTGGCAAGGTGCTAAGGTGCTGAGCAGCCATGCTCCAGAGCATGTAGAATGCCATAACTTGGTTGACCAAGGAGACTTGCAGACCCGCTTTTTGACAATTGAGAGTGTCTTATTGATGTGTGTGATTGTCTGCCGCGCAAAGTTGCATCACCAAGGTCACATTGTACTGTGAACTGTCAAAAAGATCAAAAAGGTCAAAATTGTAAAGCTTTCAACAATTCCTTCGAAGTTGTGTTGCCGCCGCCCTTGCGAAGCCCATCTCACCTTTCGAAGTGTTGAAGTTCTGTTGCAGCCGGTGACAAGGGTTAGGCTGAAGGTTTTGGTACAGAATCCCTCGGGAAGCAGTGAAGTGCAGGCTGCTTTTGGTCGACTTGGCTGAAGCTTAGTCCAACAAGTCAGGCAGCCAAAACGCTGAGAGGCTCAGGCCGTGAGGCAAGAAGCTTGCTGAGCTCATCACGTTGGGTTTGGTCTCAGGGGACCTTTGGACGTCCAAAACGTCCATACTACGCCGCCCAATGGCTTTGCGTCGAGGGATCGGTCTCAGTGCATTTCCGCTTTGTTCGACTATATAAACCTTGGGGTGTTGACATGTGTTGACATGTGTTGACCCCCAAACAGTCTGGTTGGCGGTTGGCGAGCTTTTCACCAAGAGTAAGAAGCACGGGCAGGCCCGAGCGCATGCGCCACAGATCGGGAGCCCGGGGCCCCAAAACGGCTGGGTCTTGAGTTAGTTAGTTATTTGCATCAATGTGCTGGGTGTTTGAGAAGCTGGTGTCACAACCATGATCCAGAAGTTGAGGCCATGTGTGCCATGGTCTAGAGATGACTGGTGGTGGTTTGTTTGAGGGCGAGACGATAGAGTTCCTATAAAAGCTTCAAGAGGGGCCTTGCTAGGAGGAGCATCCTCTAAAATACCCTTAGATAATCCATATTGAAATCCTAGGGGTCAACCCCGGCCAAAATAGTTTTTCTTTTCTTGAACACCACCTGCGTCCAGGAATGATCCGACACGAAAAACTAGCAACAAAGAAAAACTCAACCTTGGAACAAGGATTTTTAATAAACATGTTGGAACAACATACCAGCAAAATTGATGACCACATGGTTTGTTAGGCCAGGACTTTAGTAATGCGCGTTTTTCCCTGTCTGTGGTTGGTTGCACAGGATCAAGGTATGATTTTAATATACGACCCTCGAGTGACTAAGGAGTTAACGGAGGCACATGCCAATGTTGGCATCCTTACTCATGTTTTGAGTTGACGTGGCTTGAATGATGCTGCCCGCGGCCAGCTGCATCATTAGCACTTTTTTGCTTGAAAAACATATATATATATATATATATATTAAATATATATGTTTTTATAAAGGGCTCGATTTTGGGACGTTTCCTTGATCCTTTGTACAAAAAGCACCGATTTCGGGACACACCGGATATTTTTTCGTTGTTCGAGGACCCAATGTATCAGATGCGATCATCAAGGGTTGGGAAAGGATTATAACAAAACGTCGGCCCGAGGATTTTAACACGACGGAATCTCAGTCAAGAAAATTGAGCGTCGACCTTGGAAAAAAAGAACGGACGGATTCAAATACAGCTTTTCAATTAAAGTCCTGAGTCCAACGATTTTGGCGTTATTCACCGGGCATTCTAAATAAGGATCTTCAGCATGCCACATGTGGCAAGAATCCACGGTGGAAAATGGGAGGGCTGCGCCGGTCAAAGCAACATGTGTCTCCGAGTTGGTTCTCCTCCAAGAGCGTCGAACAGTTCCAGGCAAACCGCGGAAGTTTTTACGACCTCTTCTGGCATTTGGCTTTCATCGCCCTTTGTTGTGCTTGGGTGAAGCATGTTCTTCTAAATCTCTGCCTGCCACCAGGTTGAAGATGTTGATCTCAAGACTAGTAATCACTTGTCCTAAAGAAGCAAGCGGATGTTTGTGTGTCTCAGTTCGCTCCAATCAGCTTCACATGCCCAGGCTCAAGGCCCGAGAAAGGCACTTGAGAGCACGCCGAGCTCGCACGACCCTGGAGGTTTCAAGGCGAAGTGGTGCGCCAGGGGAGATGTCGTTTCCCGTGCTTCGCTGGTTTGTTTTGATAGTCAGTTTTGAGGTGCATGGACGGGAAGTCTTTTTTAAATCTAAACATGGATTTCACATGGGATCTCCGTTCAGATGCTGGCGAAACGGATCCCTGTGGCCACCCGTTGGCCCATTTCAAGCTTCAGCCGTTTCACTTGACGCTGTTTCGTTGGTGCCGCAAGTCATTGCTTTTTTGTTCCTTTGGCATTTCCACTCAATTGCAAAATATCAATTTTTGCAAAGATCTTCAGCTCGTTTCTTGCAGGTACCGGCTGAGCAATGAAGTTGGAGAGCGGCAGGTGGGGAAACAAAGACGACGTCAAACCAACAATGCAGGTTGGCTCCCAAAAAAAAAGAGCGCTTGCAAGGTTTTGCCAGGCGGGTAATAACTTGTAGCTGGATGTAGGTGCTGGTGATGTACAGAGGCTGAGAACTTAAGCAGGATAGTCAGGAGTGTGTATATTTCAAATTTTCCGATTCATTCATAGTAGCTAGGAGTTAGGAGCTCAACCAGGATAGTCATGGTAGTGTATAGTTATTCTTGTTTTCCGATTCATTCATATGAAGATTACCAACAGCCAAGATTTTTTGTGAGACAACCCGCCAGCTTCCCATCTCCTTCCAGTATCGCGCCGGGCCAAGGGTTTTTTTCACTTCCCACCCTACTTGGCGGTGTGTATCAAAGTAGGGAGACCCCCCCCAAAGACCCCCAAGAAGAAGGAGAATAGATCTATCCACTGGTTAAAGACCTCCCTTACAACATACCCATCCATACTGTTACTGAGACAGATTTCCTTCCCCTCGCCTCCCACCCAGAAAAAGGGAATGCCGGAAGTCGATGCTATCTCCAAATCCATGGGGTTCTCGTAGATTCTTATGATTAGGATCTTGGAAAGTGGCTTTGGGCCCTGCCTGCACACGTGGGGCCGGGCTTCACAAGAGCGAAAGAACGCCGAGAACCAGCAGTAGTTCGGGGGTGCCCCCTCGCTACCTCCTTGTTTTGGGACAACCTCCCATATGGGCTCTCCCAGTTCGACCCTGTTGGAAGAGACCACTCTACCCAGCCAGGGCCAGGATGTCTCCCTATTAAAAAGTTACACACCCATATGATATATGTATGGTGTACACCTCTTGGTCCGTGTCCTCCATGTCCTCCATGTCTGCACGACCCATTTTGTGGAACGACGCTCCGAGGCCGCTGCTGAGGTCCGTGAGGATCCACAGAGGCCGGGAGCGTGGGCGGAAAGGGAACGGGTAGCAGCACATACCAGGGCCCTAGCACGTTCAGTTGGGCTTCAATGGCTTCTGCCTTTTGGTTTGTCTCAGTGTGTCATTGAGACGCCCTTTTTCGTGAGTCGTTTGCGTGGATGAAAGCCAGCTTGTGGATCGAACCTGGCCAATTCCCGACCAGAGCCGCTCCGAGCCCTCTTCCAGATGCGCAGCTTGCAGAGGATGCGTCATGTGCAGCCCTTGTGGCAACGGCCCTGCGCACGGCCGGCTCCGTGTTTAGGGTCCGGCCATGCGCCGGTTCTGGGCGTGGTTGCGGTGACGAACCGACGCTTCTGCGCTCCTTCGGGCCCGGAGATGGGAGATGTTGCGAGGGCTGTTTGGGCTGTTGGCTCTGCCCTTCGGTGCTTCAGCTGCAAGAGAATGTTTGTGTTCTTCCACAGGATGAGGCCATTCTGCCATTCTGCCTCTGGGTTCAATATTTGTATGGGAAGCTTGTGAAACTGTTGGAATGTCCGCTCACCTCTTTTGGCTCAGCCAGTCGACATTCCCACTAAATATAGATAGACTTCCCTTGGAGTGGCGTGTCTTCACGACGACTGTGGTCTTGAGGTTGGATTCTCTTGTGTGGCTTCATTCAGATTGGTTCAGGAAGACTATATTCAAACTAACGGTGGGGTAAATAAGAACGCATGGCCAAGTTGCTTTCAGCGCCCTTCGCACCAGGTATGGCCCCGAGGCAATGAGAAAGATTGGAGCCTTGGTGTCTGCCTTGTCGGAGAAGAAGGCAGTGTGGCCAGAGAAAGTCAAGATCGAATTCTTGGAGGAGACAAACCAAGGTCAGCCCAAAGTCGCGCAATGGAGGCCGCACAGTGAATACTTACATCAAGTTTTCCAAGAAGCTGGTTTGAGCATGGGCGACTTCAACATTTTCTACAAGGACAAGGATGGAGAGCAAATGTTGCTTAAGCCCACGAAGATGGGCGTTGAAGACTTCCTCCATGATCATAGTGACCCGCCACGTTTGCAGGCTGGCTGGACGGTAAATTCTTGCGACCTTCCCCAGACATGAATGCCTTTTGCTTGCAGTGCTGAGAAACACACCAACCTGTGCCAATTCACTGAGTATTTTGATTTCATACTATGATCATTGCTCGTATCGCTGCAGATGGTTGGTAGAGAGCAGTGTGGTCGGAGTTCTTCTGTTCCTGATCTCCTGAGGAATCTACTTGTGTCAACTTCCAAACAACCTGGCTAGTAGCTTCTGCCATACATGTGGCGACTGCATCCTTTGCTAGGTGAGGTGGCGCCCTCCAACATTTTCGGAATCAGCCAAGCAGACCGTCCAAGCAAGAATCAAAGCCTTCAAGGACTTTATTGGTAGAGGAGAAGCGACAGACGAAGCTATGAAGAAAGATCCATGGCTGCAGAAAGCTGTTGGACATTTCTCGAGTATAGCACCTGGATGGTGCTACTGCAACTTTAAATATCCTCCAGGTGACCCCCCTTGTTAACACAGTTCTTTTCACGTCTTAGTCAAGCAGGAGGACATATACATACGTTGGGTCATTTGAGGACATCGAGAGGTGATGCTCACCAGGCCCAAGCCACCGCATACTGAGAAGAACCCAGGTGCGACCAACCCTGATGCTGTTGATGGAACGTAAGATTTGGACCAAGGAAGGAAGAATCACTGGTTGTCCGGAATGCTTTGTTGGAACCGAGGCCCAGAATGAGCTTGAACAAAAGGGTGGTAGGGTCGTTCCGAGCAGCAGTGTCTCGGGCCGCAGCTTCATCGACCACAAAGGTTACGGGGCCGAGAAATGGGATGAGGCGGTGGCGGGCCTAGAAAAGGAACTCAAACTGACACAGGCTGAGAGTGAGGCCTTGAAGATCGCGAGCCTGAGGAGAGAAGGGAAAGGCGCTTTCCACCATGAGGAGAGGAATGGCAACCGCTTGAAGACCGCGTACATTGCTTACAGCACCGTGAAGAGTCCGGCTGAGAGTGGCGGTGACGGCACCAGCAAGGAGACCATCGACATAGTCTATGGCAAGCACGAGGAGACCATGGAGATCAGCAAATCCGTGACATCTCTACCGCCAGAAAACTGCATCCAGTACGGTGGCCGCACGTTCTCAGTGTGGCCGCCAGGGCCTCCGCACAGCACCACGCATGGGACCGACATGTGTGGGTTGCAGGTCGACCTGCCTCCTGGGTGGCAGATCGTGGACTCGTCGCAAGAAGGCTTCGAAAATATCCGGAAGTGGGTGATTGCACCGTATGGATGGCATACGATAGATCTGGTGACAAAGAGTGGAGAGACGCTGAAGGCATGGCGCACAAGGGGAGGCGGCATTGAAGCAGGAAAGTTTTTCGACTTATCCACTGAGGTCTCACTCCTTGGCCAATCCAGCTTCAAATTCAACAGTAGTGGCTCCTACCGCATCTTGATCGAAGCATTGCCATCCGCCAGTCCCGAGCTCATTAACCACTGGAAGCGCTACGTCGAGCTGTCAGCCCAGCGCGAGTGGTCCCAACGCCTCAGCCTGCCGATGGCCGGAGCGCTCTCAGCCGAGCAGCAGCTGAGTGAGCCATCGCAGCCATCGCCTTGAAGATCGGTTTTTGGACTGCGACACGGCACTCTGCGCATGCCTTGTGCCGTGCTGCGGGTCGGAACTAGCTTCTAGTAGGAGAACTTCAAGGATTGCATGCCGTTTCACTTTAGTTGGAATAGTTGAATAGTTCCAAGGCTGAATAGTTCCAGGCGAGCTGCACACAGCAGTCTTCCAGATGCAGCGGCCGGAGCGAGGATCGAAAGTGTGCCAATACTGGTAGAGCTAGTGCAATGGTGGGGAGAGAACATGGGATTGGTTCCTCTAGTCTGACATTCAACGTTGAACGCGAAACATCTAGTTTCAGGCCATCAATAGATTATATAAGTTCCAAAGGGTGATTGACATGGGACATGGCTCGTGGTCGACCACGGGATGGTGCGTTGAAGTGAACAACCTCTGTTTACGCAGCCAGGTGGGCGAGTGTTCCCGGCGACGAGGCCCGGAGGGTCGTATGTTTGAGGTTTTTGTGGGAAGACCACACGAAATGTGCATCGCAAACATCATCAAGGTGTTTAGAGGAGCTTGTGTTGGAATTGTGTTGGTGTTTTGTGTCAGGCTATATAGGTTTACGATTCAGAGAGTGCTTTTTCACGAGTGAGTGTTCCTTTGATCATTTGTTCTTGGTATGAAGCATGCGTGCTTCACCAGCTTGTCGGAAGCCTGACTTCATGCTGTGTGGAGCTGAAGTGCGGAATTGACGCAGAGCGAGGTTTTGATGTCATAGAGGCTTTCCTCCCGCAATCAAATGTTCAAAGCCGCCAGTGCAAGAGAGATACTCTGTGCTGTCAAGGAAGGAACAGGACCAGGTGGTGGGCAGCGACATTTCGCTGACAGCTGGTTTTCTTCAGGGAATAGCTCGGACCTACTTTGCATATTGCAGATGCAACCAGACTTTTCAAGAGCATGATGAAACCCCGAACCAGTCACCCTGCGTCCCATTATCTACTTGTTAAAACCCCGAGATTCCATCGAAGGGCCCCGTTGCCGAGTTCACCGAGTAGAGGGAATCGGATGCATCGGTCCCCTTTTTGTTTCACACCATCAGCACCTGCCTCTTCAGGCAGAGCATCGTCAAGACCTTCAGAGGCGACGCGCGGCCGCTGGGGAGCGTCCGGTCGCCGCGGGACGCGTCCGGTCGCTTCGTAGGGGGTTTGGTCCACCCCTATTTTCCGAGTGGACAGGCTGGTAACGCTGGCAAGTTGAGTGGAAGGTAGTGTTGGGATACATCCCAAGCTGAAGGCATCAGGGAAGTTGGCAGTATCTCTGGCACAGCTTTGCATAGGTCCCAGCTTTGTATTGTTTTTGGAGGTTTTTGGATGCTCGATGAGTTCGATGTATCCAGACGAATCCTAATTCGCGGATTTTGCCAGTGTCAACAGGTATAAATACTCTTCCCCAGCCAGTGGGTCATCGACGGATGAATCGTATTGGCGCCCTTCTGACGACTCGACGGCGAACGGCCTGGCACGGGCACGTTGGGTGTCTGCCAGGCGTGGCGCGATGTCGGTGGGTGTGGCCTCCCTACACAGGTATTTTCCCCACATGTATGAAACATACCTGTTGCAAAGGTCATGGCTTTCTGGCCATGGTTGTGGTACGTTTCATCCAATGCAGATTTGATTCTCGCACACGAGTCCCATGTCTAACTCTGTAATTTAGCTTTGTCACGTGAGCTCGGTTTTTCTACTGTATTTGGCAGGACGGTGACGAGACGATATTGCTAGCTTCTTGGACACCTGCTTTGTTTGGCTTGCCTTGGGGGGAATGGACTTGTGCGTCGCATCCGGTTACTACCAACAACGCCATGCCATGTCAATGATTTTTCCTAATTTGGCAAGGCAACCTCTCAACAAGTCTAGTTAGTGAGAGAGACTGAGCCTCTCACAAGGAGCTTCGAAGAGCCCACCACTGATCGACACAGCGTTGGCTGTGAGAAATTCACTGGCTCTGTTGAACATGTCCAAGTTTCACCTGGGGTGAATTCGGCCTGGATATCAGAGGTCGGTCAATTTCTCATTTGAGTGCGAAGTAATTATCCGAAACGGACACCTGTTCGCTCACGCTTTCATTCCTCAAAAAGCCAGGGACCTTTCTGATTCCACCGTTGAAACCTCCGCCTCCTCCGGCTCCTCCGCGACCTGGAGGCCCCCCTTGAGGGCCGGGTCCGACCCCCGCGGGGCGCCCCGGGTGTGTTGGGCCGACCGGCGTCCGGCCACAGCGAGGAGGGCTTCAGGGAGATCCATGGGGCAAAAGGGAATGCGAATCTGGCAGTCGAAAGGGTTCGCAGGGTTCGTGCGGTTGATGGTTGACTAGTGACCTAGTGTACCATTTTGATGTGTGTTAAGGTAATTGGAGATCCTGTTGAGGATTAGGCATGGAAGGATAGTAACTCGACGTGACAAAGCCCGTTGACGTGATAAAGCTCTAGAACTCATTTTGACTCACATTCCATGCAAACGCTCTGATCCGAAGTATCAAAACATTGATTTACAAATGAACAACTTGCCAGGACAGTTCCCTACTCGCTCAAAAGAAATCTCAACGGCCAACGGAGGGCGACGGATGGTAGGTGGCGTGGAAGACTTTTGATGTGGGAGTGAGGAATACCAGAAACGGCTTGGACTGGTGATCTTGCTAGTAGTAAGGAGTGCGCATGGAGTCAGTCTGCATTATCTACACGTTCTCGTTGCTTAAACTGACATGTGCCAGCTTGACCAAACTCTTTGGCGCATGCCTGCTAGCCTAGGGCTGAGAGGGCTTAGGAAAAGCCTGTGTGTTCAGCTTCAGAAGCTCGTTGCGACCCAGCTGCGAAGGTTAAATCGAAGGTTTGGGGTGCTCCTGATTGTTTCAGACTGTCCCAGATTGCCGGGTGGTGAATGCGAACAATTTCGCCTGAGGTCCTCATCTTACGGCCTTCGGAGCCTGGCCGCAGCTGAGCAGCTGAGCAGCGGAGCTCAGCTGCGGGCGTCAAGTGAAGCAGCGAAGCAGACCTGATTGCCACAAAGCAGGTCTTGTTATCATGGTAGCTTCCATTGATTCACGCAACGCACCAGTTGCAACAAGTTGGTGGAGATCGAATTAGAAGATGGGATTGGTTTCTCCAGCCTGACATTCAAGACTAAGTCAGTATAAGTCCGAAGTTGTCGAATCAGAACATTACTTTAGTTGCACTGGATTCAGTTTCCAGTCGATTTAGTTTGAGATTCGTGCATTGCGAGAGACCTGTGGACGGGGGGAGATTTAAAGGTCGAAGGGCGCCCGACGAGGGCATGCCCGGCATACAATAGCTCAATATGTTTGGCGGTTTTGAGGGAGAAAAAAGGCAAGAGCGCCTTGGTCTTCCATGTTCATTTTTGCGTCTTCTTGGCAGGGTGTTCTGAGAAAAGCACATCCAATTGGTCAAAGGAACCTTCTTTTTCCTACGGTTTTCCACCTTGCTCTTCCCAGTTGGCGCCCTCCACCACCGCCCTCCATCCGTCTCGAGCCGTCGGATCCATCGCGTCGCCGTCTCAGGTGAGGTGGAGCCCAACCCGCGGCACGTGGCCTGGAGCGCCTCCGCCTGAGCCGTGGAAGGGGGGGCCCAGGTCTAGATAATGCAAGGGGACCCGGGAGGTGAGGCTTAGCCTATTTGGAAAGGAGAACTGCAGGACGTGCTGACTGAGATTGAGATGATGCCTTTTCCTTGAACGTTAGCGTCTTAAAGTTGGACGACCGATTCCTTTTGGGTTCCTCCACAGCTGAGCGACCGAGTGGCTTCCTCCAACAACGATCATTGAAGGCCAGGCGGCCAGCCCGAGAGACACTGCACACCGTTTTAGGCACTTCCAAAGGAAACTTGCAGAGTCTCATCTCAATCCTTTTTGGAAGACTCCTTGCCAGAAATTCCACGTTCCATCAGTTGAACTAACTGTACTGAGAAGGCCAGCCTTTGGACGGAACGCGTCAGGCGTCGTTTGTTTGTTGTATTAGAATGTATTAGGAATATCCCAAAGCATTAGCATCAAAACATGTAACATCCAGGGCGGCTAGGTGTCTAATAGTCAGAACCAAATTTGCGCAGGTATTCCAATACTTTGTGGTGAGTTGCTCGACCAAGTTATATGTCTCTGTTTCATCAATTTGGATGCCGTGTATTGAAGACCTGTGACGAGGGACATCGAAGGGCGCCCAACGAGGGCATTTCCTTAATGTTTTTTTTTCGTCCCTGAATCCACCTTGGCCTTTCATGTTTCTTGTTTTCTTGGAAGGGTAAGGTTCTTCTTGGAGAAAAGCACATCCAATTGGTCAAAGGAACCTTCTTTTTCCTACGGTTTTCCACCGTGGTCTTCCCAGTTGGCTCCGGCCATCCTCTCCATCCGTGCGGCCCGTGTTGCCCACGTCGCCGTCTCAGGTGGGTCCCAACCCGCGCACGTGGCCTGGAGCGCCTTTCGCGTGGCCGGGGAGCCTGAGCCGCGGAAAGGGGGGAGTGCTGAGGTCTCCGAGTCTAGTCGTGACAATGAATGGACGCAAAGACACCTTGCAACGATCCTTGAAGGCCACCAACCCAAGAGAGGCACCACACACATTGTGTTGTAGCCACTTCCAAAGGAAACCTGCAGTAGCATTGTCGGAAGACTCCTTGCCACAGATTCCAGTTTCAAAGTGAACTGCACTGAGAAGGCCAGCCTTTGGACGGAACACGTCAGGTGTCTGGACGCTCCAGCGCCAGGTTTTGTCACTCAAGCGCCAGGGGCGAGTACAAGTCCTAAAGCGACAGAAGCCATCAGATGTCCCGCGTGCGGAAGAATGCGCTGTTGTGGTCCTGTTTGCCACACGGCCGCAGAACGTCTCATGGACCGGGTGACTGGTGACTGGTGTCAAGAACCCTTGTGGTGGATGGTTGGTGAGACACAGGGTTGCCCACAAGTTGGTTTGACCAGACCTACGGCGACTTCGACATTTTTTGATGAAAAATAACACCGGAGGGCACTAGTTAGTTGGGTTAGTTAAGTTAAGTTTAGTTTAGTTTAATTTAGCTTAGTTTAGTTTAGTTTAGTTAGTTGGTTAGTTGGTTAGTTGGTTACTTTAGTTTAGTTTATTTAGTTTAGTTTAGTCTATTTAGTTTAGTTAGAACACGATTACTTAGTTTATTTAGGTCATTTTAAAAGGTAGTTAGTTAGTTAGTTAGTTAGTTAGTTAGTTAGTTGTTATCACTATAGTCTATTCCTTTCGAAGCTCCGATGTTCTTGCGGGCTGGGCCGATGTTCTTCTTTGCGCTCACTAAGGTTCTTGGCCTGGACAGAGCATATGAGATGTGTGTTGTTCACTCCGCCTGGTTTTGGGGTGCCTGGCAGGAGGCATGCGCCAGAGGCGATGAAGAAGATAGAAGCCTTGAAGAGCGCTGTGCCGGAGAAGAAACAGGCGGCCTGGCCGGCGCAAGTGAAGGTCGAGTTCTTGGAGGAAAAGAACGAAGGTCAGCCCAAAGTCGTGAAATGGAGGACGGAGAGGGAGTACTTACATGAAGTTTTGGACAAAGCTGGCTTGAGCATGGGTGACTTCAACATCTTTTACAAGGACAACAGTGGGGACGAGATGTCACTTGAAGTCACGAAGATGGGTGTTGAAGACTTTTTCGATGATCACAGCAGCCCAGCGCGCTTGCAGGCTGGGAGGAAATCCAAGCCAGATGATGAGTATGGCTTTCGCCCATCATTTTGAGAGTAGCTGTTGCCAAGCTTGGACTCATTGTTTTAACACGCGAACTCCCTGTAAGCCAAGTCCGAGTAAGTACGAGCAAAACTGGAAGGTCCCACACCTGTCTGCCAGGTGATATGGCGCCCTTTGACGATGGTTGAGAAAGGCAACACAAAGATTCAGACGGCCAAGGCCTGGTTGACAGGGCAAGGATCTGCCACTGATGAGGCCGTGAAAGATGTGCCTTGCCTCAACCACTCAACATTACCCCCCCCGCCCGAACTCGAACCCATACCTGAACTAGAGCAGTTCCAGTTCAGGTTCAGGTTCACCTTCACCTGGCGCACACTCTGCCACTGAACTAAGATGCTTAGGACTTCTCTTCTTGAACGCAGGCCGAATTTTTCTGCAGCCATTTGCAGCCGTCTGTTGGGAGGATGGGGGAAAGAGTGTTTTTTGGGGATGTGGGATGTGAGCTATCTGAGCTGTCCCAAGCTTGTGATCTTGAGCCCTATGAAGGTATTCGAAGGGGGACATTCTGGGTAGTTGTCTCTACAAAATGAGGTGTTTGAAGTCCGTATTGGGTCAGTAAGTTGCTGATCGGAGGTTTGTTTGGGTACGTCATTCCAGCCGTTTCGGAAGTACGAACCAAGGCACAGGACAAGGTCGAGACGAATGGTGGCAGGGTCGTTCCAAGCCGCTGTGGCTCGGGCCGTGGCTTCATCCACCACAAGGGTTACAAGATCGAGTGCTGGAAGGAGGCGGTGGATGGCATTAAGGATGAGCTCAACTTAACACCGGAGAAGGCCCGCGGCCTGCAAAATGCAGCCCTTCTGGATGAAGGGAAAGGGGTCTCCCAAAATCTGGACCGAGAGGGAAACAAGATCACTCTGTCTTATGCTGCTTACAGCACCGTTACTCATGATGACAAGATAGACATTGTCTATGGGAACCATGTGGAAACGATGGAAGTGAGCCCATCCGGCACATCTCTACCGCCAGAAAACTGCATCCAGTATGGTGGCCGCACGTTCTCAGTGTGGCCGCCAGGGCCTCCGCACAGCACCGAGGCTGGACACGACATGGATGGATTGCATGTCGACCTGCCTCCTGGGTGGCAGATCGTGGATTCCTCGCAAGAAGGCTTCGAAAGCATCCGGAAGTGGGTGATTGCACCGTATGGATGGCATACGATAGATCTGGTGACAAAGAGTGGAGAGACGCTGAAGGCATGGCACACAAGGCGAGGCGGCAGTGTAGCAGGAGATTTCGGTGGCGACTTATCCAATCAGGTCTCACTGCGTGGCCAATCCAGCTTCAAATTCAACACTAGTGGCTCCTACCGCATCTTGATCGAAGCATTGCCATCCGCCAGTCCCGAGCTCATTAACCACTGGAAGCGCTACGTCGAGCTGTCAGCCCAGCGCGAGTGGTCCCAACGCCTCAGCCTGCCGATGGCTGGAGTGCTCTCAGCCGAGCAGCAGCTGAGTGAGCCATCGCAGCCATCGCCTTGAAGATCGTTTTTGGACTGCGACACGGCACTCTGCGCATTCCTTGTGCCGTGCTGCGGGTCAGAACAAGCTTCTAGTAGGAGCACTTCAAGGATTGCATGCCGCTTCACTTTAGTTAGATCTTTGAGTTAGTTTCAGGCAAGCTGCAAACAGCAGTCTTCCACACGCAGCGGCCGGAGCGAAAACGGACGGCCTGAACCGGTGTGGTACCAAGCGGGGATTTAGACTGTAGTGGGGTGTGCTCTTCTGATCTGACATGCAGGCAAGAAGTCTTCCAAAGCTGCCCAGAGATGTAAAATTCAGCAGCTGTTTGTTTCACGTTTGTGCACGTCGGTTGTATTGTTTTCCTCTGGCAATTGTCCTTAGGCTCAAGGCCTTTGATCTAAGGTGCATTGTGAAGCACCAAGCCATTGTACATGAACACTACGATGGAGTAAACATGCAATTGTACAAAAGATTGTATCTTGACACCGTCCCTTGGTTTGATTCATTGTTGAATCACACCATCTCGACAAACATTGTTGAAACCGGAAAGAAACATTATTGTACATAAAGCAGTTCAAAAATTGTTGGCAAGTCTGTGCTCTTCTCTGCATCATTGTCTCTCCAGCATTGTTCCCTTCTCTAGTCGTTGTGCTCGTGGTGCACGTAGGCATTGTCTTTGCCAGAGATCTGCAGATTGTTGGACTATTGTTCTAGCCCTGCGTGTCCTCCATGTTGTCATCTTGAGATTGTCGGAGACGCTTTGTCCTTTCTCTTTTTCTCCTTTTGACATCTCCACCTCGATTGTATGAGCCCGCTCTTTGATCTGTGGTCAGGATGACCACGTTTTTGCCTCTTGGGAATTGTCACATGGTATGTGTCAATCCCCTTCTCAGCCTTGTATTGTCCCAAAACCAATTGTACATCTTCTGGGAGTTGTGACTGGCCATACTGTCCCAAGTCCGTCAGAGCTATTCCCAAGATTGTATGGTGAGGTGAGTCCTTTGCATGAGATTGTCAACATGGTCTTCACGTGCATTGTGTGGCCATAGTTCCAAATCTACCCATTGGACCAATTGTATCGGTCAAACTTGTTGGCTGCATTGTAGTTCAAATGCAGTGCTCGCACATTGTTCTTCTTGGCTTCAGTGAACCTATAATTGTGTGGTGCGTGCACCTGAAGCACTTGCACGCTGTAGCCACGTTGGAAGGAAGATAGTTTCTTCCCTGCCATGTGGTGCGCCATATTGTGGAGATCAAAGCTGATGGCCAGGACTATTGTCTGATCGTTTGTCATTGTGTGCCCCATTGACTGGTGGTAGGCCAACCATTGTACGGCCTCTTCAGTCGTGGGCAACGTAATGAATTGTTCCCTGGCTTCCTCAGGCTCCCGGGCAACTTGTCGATCTCATTGTCCTCGTTCAGCATCATTGTATACTCCACCTTTGTCACTGCCGAACCAGTATGTGGAGATATTGTCCAAGACGTCACGCCACGGACTGTCCTTGTAGTTGGGCGGCAAGATGACTTGACTTTCCACATTGTCCTCATTGTATAGGACTGCTCGGTCCTCCCACAAGGAAATTGTCGAGTTTGTGGGGAGTGGACGGTGATTGTGGTAGTCTGGAATTGTCATCTCCATGGTCATTGTTGCCCTTGAAATTGTCCTCGAAATAGTCGATCCCGATTGTCAGCACTTGTGAGCTGAGAAGCGGCTGCGGTCGAAAGAATTGTTGACAAATTGTCAACTGAACATGCATTGTGATTCAATTTCAAAAGGCAAAACTTCAAACACAATTGTTCATCGTATTGTTCTCCGAAAGGACGGAAAGAAAGGTCGGACCCATTGTGAGACTGAAATCTTGTAGTATATATTGTCTATGACATAGTATGCGCATAGTAGCTAGAATAGTGTGCCATGGCTTGATGCCCCCGTGTGTGTATTGAGTTGTATTGCACACGCATAGATGCTGCCATGGTTGTGAAACTGTTCTGTACGGCCGTTGTTCAGTTGTGGTGTTGTGGGCATTGAATGCCCGCCATGTAGAGGTGTTTGTTAAGCACCTCTGCCGGGACATACTTTGCCAGTGTGCCTGTATTGACAGGATCCCGCTTTGTACCAGTTGTTGTATGAAGAGGTCCTTTAGGTCGATGTGCTTTGCTTTCTTTGATGAGCCAATTCTTGTTGCTATGCTCTTTCCGCTTGTGCTGTCGGTATGTATACGAATGTTCACCTTTGTTGTTGTTGCTTCCTTGATGAAGTTTGCTATATGTAGTCCTTCTTGTGCTTCTGTGCCAATTGCATAAAGCTCTGATTCTGCTGATGATAGTGCTACTACTGCTTGTGTTCTGCTTCCAAATTGTACCACGGACCCCATCATTGGGCATCCTGCCCAGTCCGCATCGACATAAATGTTGAGGTCGATGGGTTCCTTTGTTTGTGGTGTACGCATTGTCCTCAGGATCATTTTGTACTGTTGTGTTCCCCTGAGGTATCGTAAAAGATGCTTCATCTTGCGTAGGCCATGTTGCGTTGGTTGTTGTAAGTCTCGTGCCAGTTCTTTTGTTGCAAAGCTGATGTCTGGTCTTGTGTAGGTCAGCCATTGTAGCTTTCCTACTGTTCTCCTGTAGTCTGCACGTTCTTGTGCGTCCAAAGGTGCATCATCGTTTGTGGATCGTTTCAGGGTTGCCGTCCCTGGAGCTGATGCTGGATTGCTTGCTTCCATTTTTGTTTCCTTCAACAATGTTGCGATGTATTCTGGCTTGAGGCTCACTTCAAAGTAATCTCCATTGTTGTGGATGTCTCTGCCCAGGAATTGGATTGTCTGGCCAATTCCCAGTGTGCCAGTTGGTCGTAGTAGTACATGCTTTTGTACCTCTTTGAAAGTCTTGTCGACTTCTTGTTGTTGTCCCAGGAATAGTAGGTCATCTACATAGACCATCACAAACATTGTCTGTTCATTGTTTCTGTATACGTTGGGTTCACTTGTCGAGACAGTCCCATTTGTTGTAGGACTTGTGCAAAGTGATCCTGCCAAGATTTAGGACTTGATCGTAGTCCATAGATTGCTTTGTTGAGCTTCCACACTGTGGTTGTGTTGTGACCACTTGGGTATAGTTCTGGTGGTGGCCACATGTAGAGATTGTCTGTTGCCGCTGGTGCATGCAGGAAGGCTGTTGACGCATCTCCTGCTTGTATTGTCCAGTGGTTGTGCTGTGCCATTGTCAGTAGGATACGGAAGATCCCAAAGATTGGTGTGCTTGCATAGATGTTGTCAAGGTCTTGGATTGTTTCCAAGTATCCTTTTTCTACTATGCGGCATCGCACTTCATCTTGTTTGGGTCTGTTAACCCGCTTGGATTCTATGATCTTGTTCTTGTGTTCTTCAGGGATGTCATTGTAGTTCATCTCTGTGAACGCTCCCTGTGTCTTCATCGATTGTGCTTCTTTCTTCATTCCTTGTTATACTTTCAATGGATCAAGACCTTCATTGTCGTAGACAAAAGGTTCTTGTAGCATCCTTTCCACGTCTGCTTCTTGTTCATCTTCACAGGATGCTGTGGTGATCTTGTCACCTTTCTTTGTGGTGATTGTCACTGCTTGTATTCTCATCTTTGCCTTTGGTTGCTCTTCATCTTGTCCTCGGCTTGCTGCTGTTGAGGATTGTGCTGTCCTCGATTGCTTGGATTGTGCTTCTCCTGTAGGCTCCTCATATTGTCTCTTGCTTGTTGGAGGCAGTGGCAATGGTGGTCTTGTCACTGATGCTGGTGATGTTGCCAATGGTGATGTTGCCATTGTTGCATCCATTGGATGATGTGTTGCTCTTGCTGGTAGTGCCAATGGTGTGTCTTGTGGTGTCTGTGTGCTTGTGTCTTCCACTGTAATGTCGGCTTGTGTGCCAATTGCTTGTCTGCTAGCAGTGTTGTCTGCTGGAAGAAGCAATTGTGGTGGAATTGCCGTTGGTGAGGTTGGCAAATTCCATGGATACACATGGATCGTATCCAGTAGTTGCTTGTCGTACTTGTCTGGCATGATCTGTCTTCGTATTGTTCTTGCTCTGATGACCTTGCCAGGGATGCCAACTATTGACTCTCCGGTCATTGTATCTCTGCCAAGCCAGATTATTTTGAAGAATGTTGGTTCCATCTTGGGTTGTGCTTTTGTTGTTGGGATCATGTATTGTATTGTTTCTGCCATCTCGCATAGTGGTGCTTTGTGATCCTTTTGCCATCGTCTTTGGTAACTTGTTTGTCCGTATTGTGCATGGCATACCTGTTCAGTAGCCATGCCGCATGCCGCACAATCCACGGCATGACCGGGTGTTGTACGCTCTATGTAAGGTTGTAGCTTGTGATCACTTGTTGTACCAGTGCTCGGACTTGTCCCATCAAGGTGCGATGGAATCGTTCAACGCTTCCCTGTGATTGTGACGAATATGCCGGTGATTGTCGGATGTTGACGTTGTTTCCGAGCCTTTGTGCGATGGCCTTCAATAGGTTCTGTATGTACTCTTCCTGATCTGATTGTAGTGTTGTGGTTGATAGTGTTGTTTGTGCTCGTCCACATTCGAACATAAATGTTTGCAGGCATCGTATCAGGTATTGTTGTTGTTGGTTCTTGTCTTGTACAAGAACTGCCATTGCCATTGCCATACCTGATTCGACATCTATTGCTGTCAGTACTGGTAGTACTTGTTTGTCTCCAAATGCCTTCATGTATGTGAAGTCCACTTGTATCACTGGTTGTTTGCTTGCTTGTCTTGGATGATTGTCTGTTCTTCCTTTGCTCTTGACACATATTGGGCACCATGAACGGTACGGCAAATGTGTCAGCTCATGTTCAAGCCTTTCTTGTCTTGTTGCTTGTTGTGGCGCCTTCATTCCTTTGGCGCGTGGTGCTTGTTGAGGTTCATCTTCATTGTCCGTGTCGTACTCGTATTTGTATTGTACCTCTTCCTCGAAGTTTGTTGATCCAGTCCATTGTGTATCGAGCGGTCTTGCTCCTGATTCGTGCCAGCTGTCATTGATTGTATATCCTCTTCCTTGTTCCGTTCTGTTCACGAATGTTGTCCTTGTCGCTTTGAGTCGTCCAATGTCTGGACCATCGTTTGTTTGTTGTGGTACGTACATTGTCGTCCGTACTTGTACGTGAACACGTTTCCAATAGTGTCCTTCTCTGATCCAATAGTCTGTTGTTGGCGTCATTGTGGATGGATCAGGTATTGCCGTAGTTTTTTGTAGCTGGCTTCTTTGTTGTGTGTAGGAATAGTGGATCTCTGCTGACCTGCTGTGTTGTTCCGTCTTGTTCCGGAAGCTGTAGTGCTGTTGGCTGTTGTCGCACTTGTGGTGCCTGTTGTGCTTTCTCTGTCTGCTCTGTTGTCTTCAATGTTGTAGTCGCCGGTTGCGCCGGCGGCTTGTTCACTCTGAACCATGTTTCTCCTGTCCATGTATCTCCTTGTATCGCGCGTCGTTGTTCATGCTTGCTCAAGTCATGGTATTGTTCTACGAGATCCTCGTTGTTTCCGTCTGTTCGTCGGATGATTGTTCGTCTGTAGTTGCTCAATGTCTCCAGTGGTACTGGGCAATTGTCGCCAGGAACGAAGAGAGCCTTCCTCTTGTTCCGGTGATACCGTACGAGGTATCCGGTATCCTTCATTGTTGTAGTTCCAATAGTCGCTGTTGCCTCCAAGGACTTGTTGTGGTCCATGTCTTGTCAGTGTTGTTGGGGCAATCATTGCAGTCGTGCCCTTTTGTGTATGTCTCAGCTGTAGTTGTTGATGTCGTCCCAGGTCCATGATTGTTGCTGGCAAGTAGTAGAGGTTGTGCTGTTGCGCCAAGGGAACATTGAATCCCTTGTCATGGCGCATTGTGGGGGTGTCGTTGAACCTAATGTCAAAGCCTTGTTCTGCCAGTCTTGTTACTGACAGGATTGGGTCATGAATGTCACACACATAGAAGGGTATGACAATTGGTTGTCCTCGAGATTGCCATCTCACGCCATAGCATTGTATTGTCTTGTTTGTCACTGTCCTGAGGTTTGGACTGTGCTTGGTCGATCTTGTACACGGGATAGTTGTCTGCGAACCATAGTGGGCAGACATGTGTGGCTGCTCTCTTGTACCGCTGTTTGTTGTAGCTGACTTGTGGTCATTGCCATTGCTGATCATGGCGACGACATGGATTGGTGTCATATCGTGATTGCTTGTGGATGGAATTGGCGGAAGTGCCAATGGCTGTTGTGCCTGCTGTTGTCTTGAGTAGTCTTGAAAGTACCATCCATTGTCATAGTAGTCGTCGTACCATTGTGTTGTCGTGTCCTCAATGTCATTGCCTTCTCCTTGTCTAAGGTTGTGTATTGCCACTCGGCAGTCTTTGGCATAGTGCATGTCCTGTTCGTCCGCATCTGTAGCATGTGTCTGTCGCTTGTTTTCCTTTGTTCTTTCCTTTGCCTTTGTTGTATCCTTTGCTGTTTCCTTTATTTCCTTTGTTGCCTCTTCCGAATGGATTGCCAAATCCAATCGGGATGTTGTTGTAGTTGTTGAATCCTTTTCCTCCATACTTTCCTTTGTAGTAGTTGTTGTAATTGTTGTAACCGTAGCCGTTGTATCCTCCGTAGCCCTTGCCTTTGTTCTTTCCTTTTCCTTTACCCTTTCCTTTGTTGTTGTATTTGCCTTTTCCTTTGTGGATTGCGTCAATGTCCATAGGTGCTTGTCCACCAGCGAAGTTTGTTGCCACGCTGGATGATTGTGTTCGTAGTTGTTGTAGTTTGCTGAATGCTGTTGTTGATCGATAGTACTCGATGATTGATTGCTTGACTCGTGAATAGTTTGGGCTTTGTCCTGAATGCAGTTGCACGTGTTGTTGTAGTGGTCCACTTGTTTCATTGAGTAGTACTGCTATCTTCACAGAATCTGGTAGTGCTTGTCCATTGTCTCGTTCAAATCGTTGTAGCTCAAATTCCCATGTTGAGAATGATTCTTCAAAGTTGTTCTTGTCGAATGTTGGCTTCAATAGCCTTGTGAGGTGTCCAATGGATCTTGTGCCCAATGGAATGGAGAAGCGGATGCACAATTGTCGGTACATCTCGAAGCCAATTGTATGTTGATATTGTCTGCATACGGTTGCTGCTGCTATTGTTGTATTGATGAGGATGTACCTCAAATCTGTACTGAGGCGAACATGTCGTTCACCATCTTCAATTGTTGACGCTGCTGCTCGTAATTGTCTCTCTGTGAGTTCTGCTGTGGCTGGTTCTGCTGCTTGTAGCAATTCTGTGTCGTTGTCTTGCAATCCCATGTATGCTGTGAACTTGTACTTCCATTCTTCGAACGTGCCATAGTCTCCATTGAAGAAGGGTGGTTTGAGTTTGTATCTGTTCATGTTTGCCATGTTTGTATATGTTTGTTATTGTCTCATCTTCTGGGACTGGAGGCAGGTGTTCTCCTCCAGCAGGAGCTGCTGTTGTGGCTGCCATTGTTGCAGCTGTTCAAGCTACCTGTTGTAGGGTCACGGCTTGTTCTCTGTTGTCTGTGTTTGTGTATGCTTGTCCTTGTTGTTGCATTGGAGCTCACCTGGATTGTTGTTATGTAAAATTCAGCAGCTGTTTGTTTCACGTTTGTGCACGTCAGTTGTATTGTTTTCCTCTGGCAATTGTCCTTAGGCTCAAGGCCTTTGATCCAAGGTGCATTGTGAAGCACCAAACCATTGTACATGAACACTACGATGGAGTAAACATGCAATTGTACAAAAGATTGCATCTTGACGAGAGAGAGAGAGAGAGAGACAACTACTTTCAATCCTTCCATTGACTCACACCATGACTCCATGGTTCAAGAATTTGTCCAACATCTCTTCTGTCGTGATGGAATGTCCATGGGGATGACGTCGAACCCGATGGCGGTCGAGACCCAGGATGGTTGCCCGTTGGACATGGTTGCACCTTCGGCGCCTCAGGCTGTGTACGGCGCCGGTGACGTGTGGCGAAGGGAACCGAGGGAGGCGCGGAGGGATTCCGCGGCGCGGAGGAGGTTCTTGTGCGAACATGGAGGTCTTTAGAAGACCAAGAGATCCGCTTCACAAGAGCCAAGAGGCTTAGAGGATGTGTGTTGGTGTTTTTGTATCAGGGGTAGGTTTTCAGAGATTCCTTTGAAAGGTTATTCCCTTGCTCGTTCTTTCGTGGAGCTGAACCATCTGCAATGTGTGCTTCACTGGATTGTTACCAGTCTAAGTTCATTTTGCGTGGAGCTGAATTTGTGTAATGCCATATATAAAGCTTTCCTCGCGCAGTCTTGTGAAGGAAGGAATGAGGCCAGGAGATGGCAGGCAGCAGTGGAAGGGAACGGAACTGTCCCACTTACTTTTGATTTTTTTGAAAAAGAGAACAGTACGGAGTCACGGAGTTCGCATTGAAAGTGGGTCAACACATTGTCGATATTTTTTTGAGACCAGTGATCTTGGGAGACCGGGGGGGATCAACCGTTTGGCGTGTGGACAGAGTGACCGCCGGCCGATGGCGTTCGACCGTGTTTATCTCATCAGGACTCATCAGGGGCTCGCAGAGGCACCTGATGGCCATTTGCCTTATTCAACTCCTTAAGTAGGATTGGATGTTAAAACCTTGTAGTTGAATAAGAAAGTGCAAATCGGATTGCTTCTTCCTTTGAACCTCAATGGGCTTTGCAGAAGCAGAAGCCGGGCAACTCCCCCAAAAGGTGGCTCGATGTTTGGGCGTATCAACCTGGCCGAGGGCATGTAGATCTTCTTTGCCGTTTCAGGAAGAACGTTGAAGGACTTCTTCAAGGATAGCAAAAGAGATTCCAAGAGTGTGAGAGACCGCTTGACCTTTCCAATGTCAAGCAACACTCCCAACAAAGCCCAAGGAAGCCAAATCAGCAGATCCTCATACTTGTTTTATCTTGTTTTGAGGGTTCTTTCAAGGCACAGCTGTTTTTTCGGGGCGAAGCTTCGAGGTTCGACCAAAAGACTGGATGGATCCCAAACTGGGGCAAAACCCAGAAAGGATCCAATCTTGGCCAGTTTTCTTCTGTTTTTTTTGGCCTCTCCGGGGTGTTGGAGGGCCGTCTCAAGACTTGTTTGGACCAACTTGCCATTCTTGTTCTTTCCACTGAAGCCGCAAAGCTGTGAGAAGAGCACACTGCCCTATATGTTATATAGGAGTTCTGAGGCAAAGTTCCACTTCGGGCCGGCTCCCTCACCCTGCATAGGCCGCGGTGATGTACCGGCTTCACCGGAGCTTCCATGGAGGTCAGATTGTTGGAAAGGAAGGACCCCGTGCCTTTGATGTTCTTGTCTATGGGTTCTCAATGTGAGAGTGGAGACGGTGTGAGACCTTGTAAAGTCAGTGTGAACGCCCGCAACTTACCAGTTAGATACCCTCCTTGTTGGAGTCAAGTGGACTGGACACAACATTTTGATACGTTTTGAACAGAGCGGTGACGGACAGATGTTGCCAGGCTCTCGGAAGAGACGGAACCCGATTGAACAGTGTCAGTCAGTGGCTCGCCAGACACCCAGCAAGCCGAAAGCAGTGAGAAACACGAACCTGTGAATGTCAATGATGTTAATCAGCATTGATGTCAATCAGCATTTCTCTGGCCGGCGGCCCTATATCTAGATGTTTTGTCAGCTGCTTGTAGTTGCAAGTCTCGAAGCCTTTTCGGTTCAAGACACAGCTGTCGCCATTCAACGTGTGACGCGGTCATCATGCCTGTGAGACGCTCCCAACGGATCCGGCCCTTCGTCATGGCCGTGGTCTTCCTCTTCCACACGGAGCTCCTCAGTTTTTGCGGCATGTCAAACCCTCGCATGTCTCCGGCCGATCGCCGCTTGAAGCCGGCTTTGAATCTTTGGTTCAAAGGAAAGCCGGAGGAGACAGCAGAGCCAGAGCCAAGGCAAGACATCAGCACCATGGATGTCGGCGCGGTGTCTCATTGGCTGCGGACTTTGAGCATGGGCCAATACATTTCAACGTTTGAAGCTGCAGCTGTTGATGGGCTGTTGCTGGCAAACCTGACTGGCCAGGATCTGCAAGACATTGGCATAGACAAAGGAATCCATCGCAAGAAGATTCTCATGCACCGTGATAAGTTGCTTGTGGAGGGTGTGAAGACCTTGTCAGTGGGTGATCAGTTGCTCTTGGATCGCGAGTACTCGGTTGTCAGGGGCAACGATGCAACACCAGATCCTGAGGTTCAGCGATTTGCGCCAACAATTTTGAAGCACATGAGAAAAGAAGGCTTGGACCTCCAAGTTCCCCATGAAATATTCATCAAGAATGTGGACAGTGTTGATGCTGATTTGTTGGAGCAAAGTGGCATTTTGGACACTCTTGAAGCTATCAACCACTATGTTTGGAGCCACACAGCGACTGTTGATCAGGATGCTGGGGGTGTCCGGGAAGAGATTCAGGCGGACCTTCTCCAGATTGTGCGAGACAAGAGTGCACTTCGGGAAAGGATCATGAGAATCCAGGGTGGCAAAAAGCAGTTGGCAGTTGCCATCAGCAGCTTTTGCCAAAAAGTGAAGAACAAGATGACGGACCCAGAAAAAGCCCGTGCCTTAGCGCATCTGAATGAAAGTCTTGAGAATTGGGAAGAGAAGATGCTGGAACAGGCCAACAAAGCTGCGTTGTGCAGTCAAGAGTTGCTCCAACGTGCCTCCGCTCGTTTGCACTCTTCGCTACCAGGAGGGTCTGCAGTGCAAGCGAACCTTGATGAACTCTCCCAGTTGACTGAAGACAAGGAGAGAGCCGCAGAGAAGTGCAAGTGCATCTACAATTTGGCAGATCCGGAGGTGCAATATGCCCTTGCGGCGCGGAATGGCGGGTTGAAAGATATGATTGCTTCCGTGACTTGGCTTCCCTTGGATCCCTTTTTTTGGTGAACTTCAAACTCACGAAAGGTGGCCTGCGCATGCCTGGGCTATGGTAGGAGTTTTACTTGCTTTGGTAGGTTTTGTACACCCCCTAAATGAACAGAACGGGTGCTCCTGGGAGATGTTTTTCATGCAAAAACTGATTCTAAACCAAAAAAACAATAAACCAATAAACCAAAAAACAAAAAAACAAAAACAACAATGTTTGAGACACAATGCAGCCAACATCCAAAAACCAATAGTGCACCCATTTTGTCTCAAACATGGTGTTTTTTTTGGTTTGTTTGTTTTTTGTTTTTTTTGGTTTATTGGCTTTTGTTTTTTTTGTTTATTGCTTTTTTGGTATTCCCTCTAAACTGGGATAGGCTTGGATCTCACAAAATTGATCCAAAAATAGCTCAAAACCTCAATTTTGGAGAGGTTTTGCAAGAAATCACTGTAAAACACAGTGTTTTTGCTTCATTTAAGTTGCACGGTATTTACAGTGTTTTGTAAGGGTTTTGAGCTAGTGTGTGCTCTCCCAAGCACACCCACCCTCTAAATGAACCGGGCTTTGACTGCAACACTGTTGTCGTGGATGTTCTTGATCGTAAGGAAGAGAAAGCACTTCGGGGACTAGAGGAGCAGAACGACCGTCTTGTGGAGCAGAAGGCAAGGTATGAGCAGCGCAAGGAGAAGTATCGAGACATGGGAGTACAACAGCGAAATGAAACAAGGAATATTCGCGACTGGCACGTCAAGAGCTGGTGGCGATTCTGGTGGAAAGACGAAATGGAGGTGTACGACAACCAGGTGAAGAAGGATGAAGAACAGCGTATGTCAGATGAACAACTACTTGATCAGAAGTTGGAAGAGATTGAGAACAATCTTACGGATATCAATGTCCAGAAAGGAAAACGGCAGGAGCATCTTGTAGAGCTCAGGAAGAAGGATTCCGAAAAGTTTTGGAAAAATATTCTGAATTCGCAAGGCTTGCTGTCAGCAGAGGCCGAAGTGGAACAGAAAGATGCAAGCCTTAAAGTTCTGCAAGATCAGTTGCTGGAAGTTATGAGAGCGACAGGAGTTACTAATCCTGAAATGGCCACAAGACTTATCACCCAACATGAAAGGACCAAGTTCTTGTATTCGGAGGTTAGTGCCAAATCTCGAGAGGTGGCCACGAATATGCAAGAATGGCTGTCGTTGGCAGGAAGCATCATCCGTGACCCCACCATTTCCATCGATGCCCTTCCAATGGCGCTGCTCATCCTTCACGACGAGCATCAAGAACAGATGCGGTCGCTCCAGAAGTCCAGGCCCCAATTTTTGAAGAGGATCTGGGACTCGACGACCCTCGCCCTGAGTCCACCCGCTTTGAATGCCACGGCGTGAATTTGGCCACTTTCTGTGTGTCTGTGGTACGGACATGCAAAACGCCTGAATGCAGGTGAAACTCGGCTCATTTTACGAGCTGGCCAGGTTCATGCATAGATTTTGCCGTGAAGGAGTTAAAGAAAAACCTTGCCTGATTTCCCACGTGAGAGGTACTGTCTTGGGATTTTGCGTGCCCTGCTAGATTTTGGAATTTGTTTTTCTGGGAGACTGCAACATACTGACTGCAGCTACATCTGCTGTATCCCCACATATCGTCAACGTGACGTGCTGGTCGTGCTGGCAGGTGGCCGCGTTTCTGGTGTGCGCGGTGGCAGCGAGGCCCGACTCGGGTGCTTGGGTCGTTGATTCCTTGGGAATTCTAAGGAGATTTTGATGAAGGTGGTGAACACGTGTTCACGACTGAAGATGGATGAAGTGGAACGCGACATTTTCCAGGGCGTTCATGGATTAGACGACGGGTCGATCGAGGGGCTCGCGATTTCCTCTGGCTTCCAAGTTGAGCAAGGTAGATCTTCTTCCCTTGGTTTCAGGAAGACTTTTGATCGACGTCTTCAAGGGTGGCAAAACAGTGTAAGAGACTGCTTTGCCGGCTTTGCCTTTAACTTTCCAATTAATACTCCCAACAAAACTGAAAAATGCCTAAATGGCAGATCCTCGTACTTGTTTTATCATGTTTTATCTTGTTTTGACATGGAGTTCTTTTAAGCCACCACTGTCGGTTTCGGGGCGAAGCTTCCAGGTTCAACCAAAAGACTGCATAAAGTACAAAACTAAGGGGAACACCCACGAAGGATCCCATCTTGGCCAGACATGCTTCTCAGGGGCGTTGGAGGGCCGTTTCAAGACATGTTTGGACCAACTTGCCACGCTGGTTTTTGCACTGAACTGCGAAGCACTGCCCGAGAAGAGTTCTGAGAGAAAGGACTTGTTGGGAAGGAAGGACCCTGTGCATGTCATGTTCTTGTCCATCCGTTAATGTCAGAGTGGAGACTGTGAGACCTTGTAAAGTCAGTGTGAAAGCCTGCGACTTACCCGCCAGACACTCTCCTTGTTGGAGTCTAGCGGTGACTTGGCAGGTTCTCGAAAGAGACGGAATCCGATTGAACAGTGTGAGTGGCTCGCCAGAAACCCAGCAAGCCGAAAGCAGTAAGAAAACATTGACGTCAATCAGCATTGATGTCTAAATCTAGATGCTTGCCAGCTTGTAGGCTTGTAGTTGCAAGTCTCGAAGGGGCCTGTGCCTTTGTTCTTGTTTATGGGTTCTCACTGTCAGAGTGGAGACGGTGTGAGACCTTGTAAAGTCAGTGTGAACGCCCGCAACTTACCAGTTAGATGCCCTCCTTGTTGGAGTCAAGTGGACTGGACGCGACATTTTGATACGTTTTGGACAGAGCGGTGACGGACAGATGTTGCCAGGCTCTCGGAAGAGACGGAACCCGATTGAACACACCCAGCAAGCCGAAAGCAGTCAGGCACCCAAACCAGTGAATGTCAATGATGTTAATCAGCATTGTGAAGCAGCATTTCTCTGGCCGGTGGCCCTATATCTAGATGTTTTGTCAGCTGCTTGTAGTTGCAAGTCTCGAAGCCTTTTCGGTTCAAGACACAGCCGTCGCCATTCAACGTGTGACGCGGTCATCATGCCTTTGAGACGCTCCCAACGGATCCGGCCCTTCGTCATGGCCGTGGTCTTCCTCTTCCACACGGAGCTCCTCAGTTTTTGCGGCATGTCAAACCCTCGCATGTCTCCGGCCGATCGCCGCTTGAAGCCGGCTTTGCATATCTTTGGCAGGAAGCCGGAGGAGCCAGCAGAGCCAGAGCCAAGCCAAGACATCAGCACCATGGACGAGCGGGCGGTGTCTCATTGGCTGAGGACGTTGAGCATGGACCAATACATTTCAAGGTTTGAAGAGGAAGGCATTTGCGGGCTGTTGCTGGCAAACCTGACTGAGCAGGATCTGCAAGACATTGGCATAGACAAAGGACTCCATCGCAAGAAGATTCTCATGTACCGTGATAAGTTGCAGGTGGAGGGTGTGAAGGCCTTGTCAGTGCGTGATCAGTGGCACTTGAATCGCAAATACTCGGTTGCCAGGGTCAATGGCCTGCCCGATCCTGGGGTCCAGCGATTTGCGCCAGCGGTTCTGGATCACCTGAAGAATCAAGAAATGGATGTCCGAGCTTCAGAGGAGAGGTTTATCAAGCACGTGGACGATCTTGATGCTGATTTGTTGGAGCAGAGCCTCTATTTGGAGACCCTTGAAGCCATCAACCACGTTGTTTGCAGCCAGACAGCTTTTGTTGATCAGGATGGTGGATGTGTCCGGGAAGAGATTCAATCGGACAGCCTCCAGGTAGTGCAAGGGAAGAATGCGCTTCGAGAAAGGATCATGGCCACTCGAGCCAACACAGAGCAGTTGGCAATTGCCGTGAACCGCTTTAGCCAAGCAAATAGGAACAAGATGACGGACTCAGAAAGAGACATTGCCAAGTCGCATCTCAACAAAAGCATCGAGATGTGGAAAGAAAAGATGCTGGAGCAGGCGAAGAAAGCTTCGTTTTGCAATGAGGGTTTGCTCCAGCGTCTATCGGAGCGTTTGCAGTCGCAGCTGCCTGGAGGGTTTGCTGTGCGAGCCAACCTTCAAGACTTCTCCAAGTTGACAGAAGACAAGGAGAAAGCGGCAGAGAAGTGCAAGCGCATTTACAATTTGGCAGACCGGGATGTGCAGTTAGCCCTTGAAGCCCGGAGTGGTGGATTGAAAGAGAGGATTGATGATGTGCCTTGGCTGCCTTGGATTCCTTCTTTTGGGGAACAACAAGGCTACCCTTCTTGGAAACTGCCTGCAAGTCTCTCAAAACCCACTGACCCCAAATTTGCACGCATCCGGAAATGACCGAAAGTGTTCTCGGCAATGTTTTGGATAGTAAGGAAGAGAAAGATCTTCGCAGATTAGAGGGGCGCCAAAATCGGTTGGAGGAACAAAAGGGAAAGTATGAGAAGCTCAAGGAGAATTATCGAGACATTGGGGCGCAACAGAGGAATGAAACAAGGAACATTCGTGACTGGCACATCAAGCGCTGGTGGCGATCAATGTGGAAAGAGGAAATGGAGGTTTATGAAGATCAGGTGAAGAAGGATGAAGAACAACGTACATCTGATGAGCAAAAACTTGATGGGAAGTTGGAGAAGATCGAGAAGGAACTCATGGATATCGCAGACCAAAAGAAGAAGAGACAGGAAAGTATTGCAGAACTGAAGCACAAAGATTCTGAGAAGTTTTGGAACAATGTTCTGGAAGCTGAGGGTCTGCTGTCAGCAGAGGCTGAAGTGAAAGAGAAAGATGCACTCCTAAGGGTTGTAGAGAAGCAGTTGCTGGAAGCTATGAAGAAGACAGGGGTGGCTGATCCCGAATTGGCTGCACACCTTATCACTCAGCATGAAAGGTCAAAGATCTTGCTCTCAGAGGCCACGGATAGGTCCACAGAGGTCGCCACGAATATGCAGTCCTGGGTGTCGCTGGCTGAAGAGATCGTGCGTGACCCCAGCAGTGCAACGGACTGCCTTCCAACTGCGCTGTTCATCCTTCGTGACGAGCATCAAGAGCAGATGCGGCGGATTAGGAAGTTCCGGCCGCAATTTTTGCAGAAGATCTATGACTCAGTGTCAGCTGTCATCGCCCTGAGTCAACCTTCAAGTACGAACAGAACGGTGTGAATTTGGCCACGTGAGTAATCTGTGTGTCTGTGGTACGGACATGCAAAACGCCTGAATGCAGGTGAAACTCGGCTCATTTTACGAGCTGGCCAGGTTTGTCCGTGATTTTGGAGTTGAAGAAACACGTTGCCCGATTTCTCACATGATCGGTCGTGCTCTGTCTTGATATTTTGAGTGTCCTGCGGCACTGTGGAGTAGTTGAAGCTACAACATGTTGCAGCTACACCCGCTGTACTGATTTGCACCCCCCAAATCTGTGGTGTGCTGGCAGGTGGGCCCCAACGTTTCGAGGAGGCCAGATGGGTTCACCTCACCAAATGGTCGAGTCACCACTCCAGGGCATTCCCAGAACTTCCATGAGTAGTCATTAGTCACCACTTGTAAGGGGGGTAAAATGAGTCATTTGGACTTCTGGGGATTCATAGGACATTGGATGAAGCCGGTGAACACGTTGGGGTTCATGGCCGTGGTGAACATGACCTTCCGTGATTCTCTGGAGGCTTCTCCTTCAACACCTCCGAGAGGGGCAGGAGGCACGTGCCAAACATGGGCCTGGAGCGGCTCAAATTGACAAGGTGTCATTCCATGGGCTTGCGTTTTCTCATGAACTCGAGTTGAGCTCACGTGTCACCTTTGAGTTATACTGCGTCCGCACATGGTGGCTTCATTCACCAGGCTTCTGGCACCACCGAGCTCAGTTCGACGTGCATGCTTGCAACTAAAACACACTTTCCAGCTTTTGCGTCGGTTCCATCACTGCAGTCACGTTTTTTTTCTTGCCACCTTTGGACATCCTTGAGGAGTTGGAATCGTAGACCGTCCTGCAGCCCTGCATACGGACTGGTTTATTGAGACACTTTTTCACCTAGGCTTTCGTGCGTGTGGTCGTGTAGATCATCCCTGTACCCCCCAGCAGTGCTTTGTGTTTTTGCAGGAGTGTGCAGTTTTTGCGAATGCCTGATTGCACGTGTTTTTAGTATGACTTCATGATTTCATGACCTGACATGTGGGTCAAAGCCGAACCTGGTCGTGAGGCCGATCCTGGTGCGCGCGGCCTAACATGTGCACCGCACGCTGAGTTGAAAAGGTGGCGTTGGAGTAGTTGAAGGAGTTTGGAAGCTTGTGTTCGCCAACTTCGCCACTTCTTTTCCGCATACTTATTGTAACCTTAGACTCCTACAACACCAAATGATCCACAACTCATTTCAACTCATTTCTCCTGTATCAGGGTGTCATGTTCTATTTTATATACGTGCTGTGCTTCGGTGGATGCGTCAAGGAAGTGGGAACCAAACTAGGACCAACCGACGAATTGAGAGGCACATCCACACCTTTTGGTCCTAGACTTTTGTTTTGCTTTGCTCTGGCTTTGTGCCCTGCTTTGTGGTGCTTGGGGCAGTCATCAAGAGTCCTTCCCATGTCCATGTGAAGAAACATTGATCACAATCTCATACATTCTGGAACAGTTGTGCATGTCTTGACAGGGACATGTCCGACCACCACAAGGACCATTTGGAGTTCAGTCGCTTGTGGTAAGTCTCCGCACATCAGACGCTGCATGGAAACCACATCAGTCACGTGGTATGACGTCTCCTTCTTTTCGGATGGGCCATGGTGTTTCGATGTGCTTTTTGGAGAAAGGTTTGCCCAATTCGGTCCATCCATGTCCATCCAGGACGGTCCAGACTCTAGACGCCAGACCGCCCAACCTTGGCTCTCGGTCCGATCCATCGCCCGAAGCCGCTGGTGCACCGGGCGCCCTGAGCCGGGTCCCTCCGCGCGGCGGAAGACCCGACCCTCCGATGCGATGGGATTGGGATGGAGCACTCGGAGCACTGGTGGAAGGAGTGGCCGGTAGAGTCGGTGGAGTCGGTGGAGTCGGTGAGGTGTGAGGGGTTTGAAGTTCCGCGCGTGCAAGTTCGCGTGGAATTCGGGATTTCCAGCACTTTGGGGAATTGGCAGGCCCTGAGTTAGCCGGGTCATACGTAACTAGCTCTGAAGCTTGTCGGAGCTTTTAGGAGGCTTTGGGATACCTTTTTTTCTCACGGCCCGTGGCGAGAATCGTGAACTGCTAGCCTTGGCCCAGACAAACAAGCGCAACAAGGTGCATTTCTGCACATGTTCCTTGTTTGTTCCTTTTTTTTCGTTGAGGGGGGCATGATGTCCATGCCTTTTCTTCCTGAGAATCGAAACAGGGTCCGGGTACACCGCCATTTCCTATCGATTCACTGGCAGGTCCCCTCGTTCCACTGGTGTCCTCCTTGCTCTGCTGGAAGCTCTCGCTGCACTGCGCGGCATCCAGGTGGGATCGTGGGGCTCGGGCTCGCCCAGTGGGCGTCATTGGATGTGATTTTCTTGTTCCATGTGAGTGAGCCCAGGCATGGTGTGAGCGTGATACTATACGTAAGATGTGCAACATCTGGGCGTTAAAGGCATCATGTTTTCTTTTTTGTCACCTTTGTCACCTGCGTTGCCTGGAGTGAACAACCATGCCAAAATGAAGCAGACCATCAACTGGTCCCAATGACCCTCCACACGCCTCCGCTGCACACCGTGCCGTCCGAACCGCGCGCCGGACGAAACCCGGAGGCCGGGCGACGACGCCTTCGACTCGCTCGACCTGGTCGCCGACGCGAGCGGTGTGGAGGTGATCGACTCCCCTGGCATGGCCGGGCACTTCCGCGGTATTTTCGTTGTGGAGGCTTCTCCTTCTGCGCGGTTGGAAGAACTCTGACAGCCCCTCCCTGACCGAGATTCGAGACTAGGGAGGGATGGAAAGGGTGGACTTGTGGCGAGAAGATGCGAGAAGAACATGGAAGAATCTGAGCAGTCCAGCTCAGACTTGCAGCATTGGAGGGGCACCATGTCAGGCGAAGACTGAAGACTTACTCCTTTGAGCCTTGAGTTGGTGAATGGATGCATGGGTGCCGCCCATCACTGCACAACGACCCGCTTCGGAAGCAACGACGAGTCGTCCCTCCTTGGTGGAGAGCCGAACTGATCGGTGGGAGTCGGAATTTGTGTATTTTCGGAGTGACCATCTGAGCCCGAGACACTGAAGAAGGCAGTCTGAAGGGTTGGGGTGGGAACCCCAGTGGGGTTTAGTGTTTTTGGGAGGTTTTATGGCTTCAAACACTCCAAAGCACTTGAAACTGACTTGGCTCCAATTTGGAAGATAAACATCATCTCGCAAAGCCGGGAGAAACCTCGGTATGCTATGTCCAGAAGGAAACGACTCTGGCCGCTTGGCAGGTCCAAGCCTCCTGGCTTCAAGAGGCCTTCCCTACAACCCCAGCTATGTTTGCTGCTAGCAAATTGATGTGGTCCCTGGCGCGCCTGCTGGCGCGCCTGCGGACGCCTCGCCCGCACGGCTCGCGCGCAAGATGAATCCACGGGTTTCGCGACACCTTTGAAGGGTTTGGCCTCGTTCCGGTGATGCAACTGGATGAGATTCAGATGGTCCAAACACCAACTTCAGGTGTTCTTTTTCAACAAAACGCTCCTCAGGCGTTCGAGACACTCTGAAAAAGCGTTAGCTAAGCGCTAGCTCACTCCATCCTTCCCTCCATGCCCCCTCCATCCCCCAAACCGACCCGGCGTTCTTACGGCACGCCGTCGGTTCGACCGGGGCGTATTGCGCTGTCCGAAGTGACTTTCAAGCGACGAAACACGTGAACTTCCGGAACTTCCGGATCCGATCCAAAGGGGTTGATCTGTTCCAGGCAAACGGTCCATCCTTATGCACATGAAACAGGTGAAATCTCAAGCCCAAAACGCAGGAATGGAATTCATGGGTTTGTGCCTAGTTTGAAGAGCAAAATCGCTGGATGATTTTGCATCGGCGCAGAGGGGTGTCTCTGTATCAAAACGGTTTGACCAATCAGTATTGAAATATGTCTCTGAGATAAGGGAGATTTGTTCAAAAAGCCTTGACAGCCACTTGCATAAAGGGTGGTCATTTCACCACGACCTTTGTTCACGAAGGTCTTCGTTATGAAGTGGGCATTGACCACCCTCACTTCTTCTTCTCCTGCTTCTTCTTCCAAGTCTGGTGCTAGACTGGCACTGGTCCGGTGCCAGTTCTTCTCGTGATGGTTAAGGAATTGGAGCAACTGTAAATTCTCAAGCTCGTTTGTGTGTTCGGTGCGTGGTAGGAAGATGTACATGCACTCCATTTACTCTAGAAAGGTCTAGAAAGACCATTGCCTTTCAATGCCTCTCTACAGAGCTTGCTGAAGGGCAGCAGACGAGCTAGCTGTAACTGAAAGCCTGAAGGCCAAGGGAGTGCCGGTTCAATGCTTCGTGAAAGACATGTTGGCAGACATACCACGCAGCGATGACGACATTTGAAAGCAGGGTCTCAGGAAACAACGAATCAAGACAGGTTTAGGGGACCAACATCTTGACAGGACCTTGCAAAGGTTCGAAGGATTTCTTCGGACATTGCTTGAACCTGCCTTTAGATTGCAAGCGCCCTGTGCATTCCGGTCTGGGTCCTGAGCAGCGATTGCCCTTTTGGCAGATTGTTAGACTTGGGGGAGTGTTTGTAACATTTGGGTAGGCTGCCCTGCCCTGCGAATTCAACTGTCCGGCTGAGCCGACATGAAGTTGCGCTCCGCACGAACATCTCCAAAAGCGGAGACGCTGGGAGAAGCTGTCGGTCAGTCTCAAACGGCTCGATGGAATTGCTTTGCGCTCCAGTCGCGCGGGGCTCCGTCGGCGCTCCGTCGACGCTCCAGTCCGTCGCCCCGGTTCTTCGCCCGCTGAAGCGCCTTTTGGCCGGTCCCACCCGGCGGAGGTGGAGGTGTTATGGTGCGCAGACGCCCCTTTTTTTCTTGCGTGAAAGACACGCTCCTCGCAGATGTGGTGAGAGAAATCAAGAGATGCAGGAACATGTGAAGCGGACGCGCTTGCGCCCAAGCAGAGGCTTGTATGGCAAATGAAGGCCGGGTGTTGCTGTAAAGATATTGACGTAGATAAAGATGCGGGCATTCGGCACC